TGATTGCGTCTCTTCTAGCTTATTTTCTGGAGGAGAATTTCACACAGCATTGGGAGGTTTTGTTGACAGGGACGGTGTCTTCATGGCCTTTCCTCCTGCAGAGAGCCTGGGGCAGCATTTTACACACAGTAGCTGCACAATTAATGTCTTTGGAATGTGGAAGAGTGACTCCAGGCTCTTCTCAAGAATGCTTCCTAAAGGGGCCTTCTGATTGCATTTTAGGACATTTAAAATAACAGCGCCAAGGAATCATGTGAAACGGAGCTATACTGGAGCGTTTCCCCGTAGAGGCCCCGGTAATCTGACCAAAGCCTCGGTTGCTCTTCCGTTCTGCATGTTTCCAATTCAGCATTTTGTTGCCAGAATCAAAGATGTCCTCATTCTGCTGATGGACAATGCTAAACATGGATGGAGATCATCGCCTTGGACACCTGAAACAGGGTCAGCAGTGCGAACTCCCCACTCAGAAGAATTCTGCTCTAGGAGCATCTAGGACCTCCCCTGGGGGACGAGGACATAAACTGTGGGATTAGACAGATTGTGGTTGAATTATGGTCTTCTCACTTACTGACTTGGGCACTTGACTCCAACTCTGGATTTCAGTTTTCTTGTCTATAAAATGGAATTAACAATACTCAGTCTGTTGGTTGATGATGGGGGCCAAGTGAGACAGGGGCAGAGGGGTGGTCTGGTGGACCCAAAGTAGCTGGGGAACCCCATCTGTAGTTGTGACCCACTGATGTCAGCAGAAGCATGATTTTCTCCTGAAGTGCAGAGAAAACATAAAAGCCAGAAAGGCAGGAGAGGCTTTCCCAAAGGGTTGAATATGACCCTTCTTAGACGTCTGTGCCCTTGACGGTGTTCCTAGAATCCCCATTCCGTCCAAGACGGGATGGCCCTTGTGTCAGTAACTTGGAGGATTTGGAAAGGTCTTGGAGGGCCTGGCCATGCCATGTCACTGGACTTCCTGGGATGATGCCTGTGGTGTGAGCCTCTTGTGATCAAGGAGAGTAACGTTCCACCAGTTATCCCCAGGATAAAAACGAGAGTAGGTTTTACTCCCAGTGATTTGTGCGTTTTGGTCACTAAATTGTAGCCCAAAGAGGTTAAGGTCCTTGTCCAACATTACAGAGCAAGTAAGTGGCGGTATTAGGATTCAAACCCAGGTCTGTCTGGCTCGAGGGCTCTGAAGTCAGGGCTCTACTGTTTTGTGTGGAGATAATGGGGTCAGTGTTTGGGAAGCTGGACTCCTACTCCTCCCCTTTGGGCTGCAGGAAGGGGCTGCGCCTTCCCCCCGCGGTGGAACCGAGGCTCGGGCTGCCCGTGGCGGACCAGAGGGGACGGCTCAGTTACGTGCTCTGCAGATGGCCCCCCCTCCAGTTCACTGGGGAGCTCTCGCTTCTCCAGTCATTTCCACAAGAAAAAAGACAAGTGTCCGAAAGGGGCAGGCAAGCCCATTGTAGCTTTGCTCCTTCCTTTGGCCCCTGAGGAATGTCGGGGGGCAGACCTCATCCTCTTCATCTTCTCATTCACAAAGCTTGGCTGCGAGTAGCACAGAGAACCCTCAGCAGAGAGACTGGAAGCAGCTGCAGGGAGACCTCCTGGAGTGCTCGTCTGCTTCTGCTCGCAGAGTGTGCCGCACTGGACACAGGGAGCAGCTGGAGGCTCACCGCTTGGGAGCAGGCTGAGGGCAAAGGAAGAAACATCTCTGTGCCTTATTCAGGCCAAAAAACACCTAAAGTGGAGCCACCAAGCCCCGCAGAAAGTAGGCAATCTCTCCCACATGTCCAGCTCAGGGCCTGAAAGCAGAGATGAGAAGAGAGGGAGAGCATGGCCAGAGGTGGCTTTAAGTCTGGCATGTATCCCCAAACATGCAAAGTCCCTTTGCAGCACGAAGAAAGGAGGAGGCACGCAGAGAGAAAGTCGAAGAATTCCCATGTGACACCCACCCTGCGGTCCCTTCAGGTTGGAGCCCATTAATGATAATAATGAATGTGGGGGGATGTGGACTATAGTCCGAGACCCATGCTTTTGTGGAATTTTGAAACAATTGCCTGTCAACAACCTGATGAGGTTGGAAGAGCTACCCAAGGTTGTGTTTTGTGTGTGTCCCTTAAAGTGACCTCAAAAATGAGGCACATGCCCCTTCCTCTCTTGCTTCAACCCTAAGACAATCTGCTCTTTTTTATAACACTTTGTTGACTTGTAACAACTGCACATACAGTAAAGATCTTTGGACTGAGAAAGTTCACTGCCTTCCCTGCTGAGAGACAGTGGCGTCCTTGGACAAGTCACTTAGCTACTCTGGGCTCGATTTCCTCGCCGGTGGAATAAGGGTTGATTGGACAAAACCACTGGTTCTCAGCCCTGGCTGTGTATTAGGCTCTCCTGGGGGAGGGGAGTTTAAAACATACTGATACTTATTCATAGAAACCTCTACACAGGGGCACCTGGGTGGCTCAGTGGGTTAAGGCCTCTGCCTTCAGCTCGGGTCATGATCACAGGGTCCTGGGATCAAGCCCTGCATCGGGCTCTCTGCTCGGTGGGGAGCCTGCCTCCTCCTCTCTCTCTGCCTGCCTCTGCCTGCTTGTGGTTTCTGTAAAAAAAAAAAAAAAAAAACTTAAAAAAAAAAAAAAAAAAAAAGAAAAGAAACCTCCAGACACCGACAACATATAAATGCATGCTGTAAAGAAAATGATATCCATGGTCTGGTTAGCATCGTACTAATATCACCTTCCTGATATTGATATTATACAATAGTTATTTGAGGGTCAGTCACCACTGAGAGAAGCTGGAAAAAGGCTATGCATTATTTTTGTAATTTCCTATAATTTCAAAATAAAGAGTTAAAGAAATCCTACTGGACACAGACTTACTGAATCCTCCTTTCTGACTCCGAGGCACAGGCGTCTGGATTTTCTGCAGCCTCCCCAGGACACGGTGATGAGAGCCCCTCTGGCTTGTGCCAGCACTGTGGGTGGTGCTCTCCCTGCTGCCGTAGGGCTCCGAGCTGCTCAGTGTGAGCTACTCAGCTAGTGCCTGGGAGACCGGTGGGTCGTGTTCATTCACCTCCTCGTGCGCGGTCGACCTGTTGGCCCAAATATCTGGTCAGTTCTTCAGGACCAGTTTAAGGTGTCGTGAGCTATGTTAGCCCGTGTGTCACAGTCTTTTTTGAATCTTTTTCCAAACTAGATTTAGGCCAACACTAAGGGACATATGAAGAAAGAACAAGAAGCTAGGAGCAAGCAGTCCCTGTGAGATCTGCAAGATACCGGATCCGGAAGGCGCAAGACAGAAGCAGAGAAAGAAAGAAAAGAAAAGAAAGAAAGAAAGAAAGAAAGAAAGAAAGAAAGAAAGAAAGAAAGAAAGAAAGAAAGAAAGAAAGAAAGGCAGGCAACAGGAAAAGGATATTTTTGTGTCAAGCCTTGGTCATCTTTGGGTTCTCTGCTCTTTGTCCCTTGGGACAGCCGGGGTGGGGTGGGGCAGAGGGCATGCCGCGGTTTCCGTCTGTCCCAACAGATGTTTCTCGATGCCAGGCCCGTTTCCATTTAGTTGGAAACTCTTTAAAAAATTTCATTTTATTGGCATCTCAGAAAGGCAGTGATTGTTTTTCCTGGGCACAACTATCCCAGGAGGCAGGTTGCAACTTGTTCTGTTTGCCCAAGCCTTAGTGGAGTCCCCAGGGAGGTGACAATTAGGCATGTCATTTTGAAAGCCTGTCTGCTTCCTGACAGAACAAGGCCCACAGAGGTGGTGGTTTGTCAGCTTCTCTCCCTCGGTCCCCAGAGTGGGGGCCTTGGCTCTCGTGCTTGGCACCTTCATATCTGTGGACAGTTGGCCCTTCTGGAGAACTCTGACTGGCTGTGTGGGGGACACACCTGTGTTTGTAGGAGGAAGTGGGAGTTTAATGGGGTGGGGGGTGATTTCACAGGTTCCACAGCAGTCTTTCACCAACGATGGCTCAGACTTTTCACCTCCAGAGAGTGAGTACAAAGCACAGCTCCGGTGTTCTTCAGACCCAAGCCTGGGTACTTCCTGACTGGGTAACATTGGGTGGGTGACTTGACTTCTCTGTCTCAGACTCCTGATTTTGCCATCAGTGTTGTTGTGGAGCTTGCATGAGAGGAGAGAGGACTGAGAAAACCCGAAGGCAACTCTGGTGCTCGGGGAGGGCTCGGAAAATGGTAGCTGTGGCCAGGACCAATGGTACCATTGGTGCCATTGTGCGGAAGCTTGGGACATGGAAAACGCCCACTCCCCCAAGACTTCAGGGACTCACTGCAGGGATTAGGTCCTCTGCTTCCATGCCCTCAGCAAACAGGATGGAACAGTATACTCTGACATGCGTAACTTAAGTAACTCCTCTTTACCCTGAACGACGGTTGGGCTCGTTCAAATGGATTAATCAGAGGCAGTGAACTCTGAAATTCAGTCACGAACAATGTGGTCGATGGTCACAACCAACCTGTAAAAAACGAGTAACAGCGCATGTTTAAGGACTTACTGTGGAAATTTGGAAATCTGAGGTAACAACGAATTCCAGACTTTGTGGTCCATCAACAGCATGGCGGTTCTCAGGAGAAAAAAAGATCAAGTATTTGCCCAGAAAGTTTACAAAACAACACTTTGGACATGAAAAAGAATGATCTATGGGTTAATATTGCTGTAGGCAAGATGTGCCTTTTGGACATATTAACATTTCGTTGACTAATGTTAGATACAAGAAGCTATAATGATTCATAAATGTCTTTCTCTGATGTGGCTCCAAGATGTACACCCTCGTTTGGAGGTGAGGCCGCCTCTCACTTTCAGCCATCACAGCTGTGTCTACCCTCCATCCCTATGACAGCCCAGGCATCTTGCCAAATTAATTTAAAATTCATGAATTAGTGAGATTAATATATTGAGAAGTAATTGGTGATTTCCAGAATTAATTGGTATTATTCAAAGCAACTGGAAACTCTCATCAGAAAATTAAAAAAAAAATAAGCCAACGTTTCATAATACAAAATTTATTAGTTAAAAAAATTAGAATTTGTTCGTTACATAGAAAAGGAAAACTGAATACTCCCTACGACAATTTTAACTGTAAGCATACAAAGTAGGAGTGGCACGATGACCAGATCTGACGACTTCGTACTAATGCCTAAGCGAGCATCAGAACATTGGAAATGTGACACGGGAACGGGGCTTTGTGATACTTTGTTAACAGGCTGCATGTTTCAAGCTGTCATTTGGTGTGGCCGAAGGACCGAGATACTCACACTGTGTTCCAATGTAATGCAATTGCTATTAACTATAGCAGATGTCCCAGTTTGTTCCCCTTTTATAGAACTCGCTGGCCACAGCTGCTGAGGGGGCCAAGTTCACATAGTCTGTGCTGGGGTAGGAAAAGCACTCTGCCGCTCTGAGGGTGTCCACATGTTCTGCCTCACAGGACGTGCAGTAGCAGACCGAGGGGCCGGCGGAGGGGAAGCAGTCATACTGAGCGTACGAGGGCAAGTGCGAGTAGGAGTACTCTTCTGAGGGATTGCCACAGTTTCTGGGGTCCAGAGAAGGGGGAGAATTGTAATTCTCCGGAGCACACGCAGGTAGCTGAGCCAGCGAGTAACTGTAGTCTAAGGAACCAGACAGAGTGGAGGAATCCGAAGACGATCCTGGGGTCTAGAGAAAGCCAGGGAACAAAGAGCTTGATCAGTTAGACAGGATTCAAAAAGCTGAATAGAGAGGATTTATTAACTCAAGAGTAAGAACAGTAGGGAGGGGACAATGCAACACAACAAAACACCCAGCCCAACCCAGGGCTGCAGAAGTAATTTTATTTGCTGACTGCATGATTTCAGGACACCTTAGTCTATATTTGCCTTTTTCTTCCCCAACAATAAATCGCCTTGCTTCACTGGCTTCCTTTGTTGTAACCCTACTTTAGAGGACGCTTTGTTCTTAAACCACAAAATCCCATCGTGCTTCAAGTCACCTGCACGTCAAATCTTGCTGTGGGCCACAGGAGAAGCCGCAGGTGGCACCTTGGATGTTCCTCCACGCCCTTAACCGTGGAGAGCAAAGCGAACCAGACACAGGTACCACTGGGCTCTTCAGTGCGCCCGTGTCTGGCAGATTCCAAGATGCACAACTACTCTCACTGAAGTCTTATCCCCAGAGGAGAAATGTACCTCTGCTTTCTCTTAAGCTGGTCTACAATTATTACTGAGAAAGCCTTCTTTGGAAGCCAGAAGGGAGCTGGGTGACTGGGGTCTGGTGTGTATTTTCTTGGGGTTAATTTCTCATATCCTGAAAATTTAGTCTGATACCTACGTGGACTTTTGACAAGCCAAAAGAAAAAAGTATGTACATTAAAAAAAAAAAAAACAACTTACTTTTTACGGTTTAAAAAACTATAGGAGTATCTAAAGGACATCTCAAACAACTGGTGTCTACTAATGGAAATCTTACTGCGTTTAAATGATACCACATTTTCAAGCACGTGAGGTTCTCCAAGAATAGAAAATCCAAATTCTCTGAAGTATGAGGGCTTCTTTTTTTATTAGCAGTGTCAGACCCAAATGAGTTCTCATGCCTATACCAGACCCAAAACACCAGTTAGTGGGACCAGCTCAGTGCCAAAATGAAACAAAACCCCTTATCGGGATGACAGTTTGGTACTGTGTTGATGAAGCCTTAATGTCATTTTCCAGAACTCGAAGATCCAAGGACCATCACTTAAGTCAATGATTTCCAATTCACAGATGCCTTCACTACAGTTTGAAAACATTCAATGAAGATTGCCAGGAAACCTTTTTATGGGCACACACCACTTTACTCGGGTGTAGCTGCCTTGGGAGATCATAATCGTGTGTACCCAAAGGTTTGCCCCCTGCCATGTGTGGTTACTCCGACCCCCACTGAGTTTTAAGTGGCTTCTGGGCTGTTTCCTGGATGACTTCTTAGTTGACAGGGTCTGTATGATTTCTCATGAGATGATGAAACCCTCTTACAAAGCCTTACTACTCCAGAGGAGGCAACAATCAGGTTTTGCAAAGAACGGAGATAAATTACCAGGCTCTGGTTAAAGCAGAAAGGGGCAGCTTGGAAGCTGTCAGGGAAATAGGGTGACGTGCTCTGCGTGGAATTGAGCAAGGGGTCCAGGTGTGTCTCTGTCTGAAGGTAGGACTCAAACACCTGGTCGATGCAGCTTGTATTTTCTTCACAAGAAACACAACTGGAAAATTCTCGGGGTTGAAAGGAATTGGATGTGGAAGAAACCGGTTCAGATTCCAAATACAGCCCTAGAAGAGAAAGGGAAAAAGAGAGACTTTTTTGTTTGTTTGTTTGTTTAAAAGTTGCACTTATGACTTTGAATAGAATACTGTATTCTGAATATTTTACCATGTTAGGGAGGAGCGGGGCTTAAGAAGTTCTAGAAAAGTAAACAGGCAGGCAAATTGGATGTTTTTTGTTGCTCTAGTGAATTCGAGTCCCAGTTGCTCAAATCTGGTTAATAATGGGGAGAGTGGCTGTAAATATGACCAGGGTACAAATAAAAGAATGACAGTCCAACCTGTGTCTAATTGTCACAGTCAAATAATGGCTCAAGACTCTACTTTCTTGGACGATAAGGCATCAACATCCCATCTGTAGTTCAAGTAAGTCTCACCTCTCAGAAGGAAGGCTTTAGGAAAACATCTGAGGTCATGGGAAACAAGTCTCTTGATTTAGGCTTGTAGCTTTGCTAACCTTTTCATATTTTCTCAGTAACTTAAATTTTGAGGAGTGATAAAAAGGGCAACGCAAATGATAAAAATGGAAACCAAGAATGTAAAGTGAATCAGTACAAAAAGCAAAGATGTGTCCTTAGGAAATATTTTCACATGCTAACAGAGTTAAAATAAGTTAGCTACCCATCACGCAGAATTCTGAAAACGAGACTCCTCTTCTGTTTTATTATAAATAGGTTCGATTTCTGATCGCCAGCCTTAAAGGCTCAGAGAAGACAGGTTTAGAGTGTATCAATTAGATGACACTAGAACACTGGGTTTCTTGAAGTCTCAAGGTTCCTTAAGGTTAAGAGAAAGTGGCACATTCAGGGGTGAGCTACCACAAGCACAGGTTTCCTTGTGTCCGAGCTCCTGAAACACCTACCTGCTGGCTGGCGTAGGTAATACAGTTACTTGAACTGGGCTGAGAAAATGTGCAGTTGTTCGAGTTGCTTCCCGGGGAGAGAGGGAGGAAGGGGAGGGAAGCCCCTGTCGGTGGCTAGACACTAAATCAACAGGAGCAAAGGCATTATTCGAGAACCTGAGGGTGTCCTGTATTCCATCTAACAGTCCCATAAAAACGACAACAAGTTTCTGAAAACGATTCCGATCTGTTAGTCAAGTTCAGTGACTTGGTGATGAGAAACTGGAGCAAATGTAAAGAACTAACTCTCGGGACAGAATGGGAAGCAGCAAATAGACGTTTCGGAAAGAAGGACAAAAGTGTGCCCTTGTTGCCTTGCGGAGCTTGATCTGGACTCACTATGCCTGGTTCCCCTTCTGATTGGTTGGATTCCAATTAAATGGTGGTGTCTATCTTTACCCCTGAATCAAGCACTGAGAGACTTTTCTGAGGTGGACTTTTGAAAGAGATTTTGAGGGAACCGTGACACGCGTTGTACTGACCTGCAGAAGATGATGGGGCTGGGTATGAAAGGTGGACGCCGTTGCCTCCGGGCAGCTGCCAAAGCAAGAACATGACCATGGACTCAGTGCTCTCAGGAGGAAGTGAAGACATTTTCCCATGAACATTTCCCATTTCCATGAACTTTGGTGCCTTCTGCTTTAAGGTAAGCCAGGTTCTTTTTTCTAAAAAAAGGTGGTTGTCATCACAAACAACCAACTTTATTTCAATGCAGTTTTTATGTTTGCTTGGGTTTTTCCCCCCAATAGATTTTCCCACTTAAATTTTAAATTTAAGTGCAGATAAAAATGAACACAAATGATTTGTAGATTACAGAGGAATGGAATAGTTTGAGTATGCCCAGTAAACAGCCTTTCTATTAAACAATTTAATTTCAAAGTAATAAGAGCTAAACTTATTTAATCCCAACCCTCTGTGACTTAGTCCATCGTTCTCTTCAAAATTTTCATCTACTCTCTGGAGGCTTAGCCTGGGAATTTGTTCTCCCACAAGGACACAATTCCTAACTTTGCTAATCCCGAGTAGCTAAAAGTAGGCACGCATGCTTACTAGCTATGAAATGTTACGATAGAAAATGTCCTTAAAGCTGTTGTCCGTGAGCTGAAGCCTATCTACATTCTAGGTAATGCTCAGTCTTTCAACTCTGTATGAGTTGCTTTTTTTCACTATTCTACCCGAATACCTGAGATTTAGTGAAATTTATGAGATTATCCCTTTTAACTATTTAAAGTAAAGCAGCCTGTACCTTCCAATTGAACTGGTAATTGTACTGAGTAATTTAGGACTTTAAAAAAAAATTTCAGATGGTGCCTTTAAAGTTTAAAGGGACCAGCTCTGCTCCGTGATCTGTGCTGGGAAGCCAAGTTCACCGCACCTCTCTCTCTCAGATTACAGACATACTCACTCCCATATAGCGTGCCTCTGGGGTTGTCGGCCTCTGCTGAAGCAGGAGGTGGTGTTAATTTTGAAAATGATCCATGCCGTAATGTCATGAACCAGGAAGCTGGAATCCTTCACCAGCTCTTTATGCAAATATTTGGCTGCACCTTGAGCTGAAGGACTTGGAAGGAGTGGGTTTTTAAAAAATCTGCTTTATGGCTGAGCTCACATTAACCCCATTCCTCTCCGGGAATGGTCTGTGTGTCTGCCTTCCCGCGTTATCTCCCTCAGTTCTGTTTACAGTCTCCTGCTCGATATTATCTCTCCAGCCATGGGTTCACTTTCTCCTTCACCCCAAGAATACAAAGAAAGGCACCTTTCTCTTAGGTTTCAAAACGGCACAAAAAAATACAGTCTACAATTTATAAAAACACATCCAGGCTGCTTAAAAAAAAAAAGGGAATGGTTAAAGAAGGGTAACGTATATCCTTTCATAAATACTAACTCAAGTTTCCCTTTCTCCTAAAGGTAAAAGAAGGGTGTGTGTGTGTGTGTGTGTGTGTGTGTGTGTGTGTGTGTGTGTGTGTGTGTGTGTGTATAGGGTTGTTTACAAACTGATCTGGCCGAAATAAGTTTTTTTTAAAATCAAATTAAAAAATCTGACATGCACACCTTTCTCCTGGCACTGTTTGTCACCTGACATTTGCTTCAATCTATGACTTCCATTCATGATTGCCTTCAAGATTTCAAATGGTGGGTACAACTGTGTATAACAAATCAAGATAAATACTTTCCTGCTTTATATAGTTGATAGCATTAACCCTCTCCTTGCCTTGAAGCTTCCTGGAGGTGTCCTTTGATCACTGAACAAATTGGAGATCATCTCTGCTACACCAAGGGTTCTCTACCAAGAAGCAGGCATACACCGTCCCCTGACAGCCGCCGTCCTTGCCTGCTGCGTATACCCTTACCGCTTTCCTAGAATCCCAGATCCTTCCGATGGTTCCGAGTGAGGGGTTTTACAGCTGGTTCTCATGGTTCAATCATCAGTGTTACTTCCCTGTGCCTGTGAGGGCGCTTGGGCCGATATAATCTTCCAGGAAGCCAAGAAGGGTGAGCGTTGCTGTACGTGTCCCCAAAAGGCATTGGTTCAGAAGGACTGCTTTATTATTTCTTGGGGGTGGTGGTGGGGGGGCGAGTAGCTCTCAGAAAAAACTTAGATAAATCATACAGCTCCAGGAAACGGATACTGGTCAGATACACAAGTGAAATGTTTTATCCTTTGCTTTCAATCCTGTAGTTAGCTCGCAGGGGGACGGTGGCCAAACCTGCGGGAGGCCAACAGCCATAAAATCATCATGCCCAAGTGGGACTTCTCCAGGTGCATTGAAGCAGAATTCTACCATGTACCAAAGCTCCTTAATGAAAGATTACACTTTGTTTTGAACATCCTGATTTTTTTTTTTTTTTTTTTTTTTTTTTGCATCAGAGGCATTTCCCAGATCTCTTGTTCCTGGTTTTATTAATTTTATAACCATCTCTGAACTGAAGGAATTGATGGTTGAGACTACCAGAAGGATGAATTTAGGGAACCAATAGGTGGGAATGTGTTTTTGTTTTTACATGAAGAGTTAAGAAGAACCTGGCCATGTTTTTAGCTCTGCCTTTAAACTGACTGTAAGACTATGAACTTCAGCTGGACTAGAAGCATGCAGGTCCCCATCTATCTACCTCACCTGGTTGTTATAAGAACTAAATGAGATAAGGAGTGTGCAAAAGTGCTATCTTTTAACCACTGTACAAACCTTCTGCAAATGGAAGGAAGCTTTATGTTAGCTAAAGTTACATACTAACTTCTCCAATGAATGTAAAAGTTGTGCTGTACAGGCTGAACCACAGCACGCTTGCACCTGAACTTGAAACTCTGAGCAAAGGGAGTGAATGGACATCACTGGGGAGCTGGCTTTCAGTTCCTGGTTGTAATTTTAGTTGCTTTTCACACATCATGATAATGACAACTCTCATTTAGGGAGCACTTGCTAAATGGAAAGCACTCGTCCAAGTGCTTTATGTGCCATAATTCATCTAACCCTCCTAAAATCCTATCGTCTCCAGCTTAAAGATGCAGACACAGGTGATGACCCCGAGTAATTGCTCCAGGATCCAAATGTACCATGGAGGAGCTGAGATCTGAACCCAGGCCACTGGTTCTAGAGCCTGTGCTCCCCACTCCTATAACATTTGCCTCTTCCCACAAAGACCCATTTCAAGAAAGTCGAACATTGCGCACAAACAGCGCCAGGCTCCAAAACCATTGCAGGGAGGACGCCAGAAGCTAGAGACCCGACGGGTCCTAACGCTGGTGATACGGGCTCCGCTGTCATATCGCGCAGGCGCACAAGCAACCCACCGGCAGAGGTACGATCAAGGGCTTTCAGCAATGAATTACGCTCTGTTGGAGGAGAACCCCGCCTAGTTTATTTGGTTCTGCTGCTGCCCTGAGCACTCGTGGCAGCACCGTCTGCTTGAGAAAGTACAAAAAGTGGCAGGGTACCCTTAGGACTGCCCACATCACCTCCTGATAACCAGGACCGGCTTAAGGCTTCATTCGAAGGAGGTGATTCTATACCCCGAGCTGTCTCTTCTGCATTCACATGGCCCATTTCTGCTGGGAACCTTCTATGCCTGGTGACTTACAGATAAATGACCTCAGAGGCTGGGTTTCATACGAATGAGAAGCAGGGGGCATTTGCACCAAGATTCTCTCCTTGAAGGGCTCGCTAAAATGACATGAGTTTCTGGGAGAGACTTTCTTTGCACGTGTGAGGGCCCACACACCGTTTTCCTACCAGCATAACAACCTACTTAGCTGCTGGGGGCTCCTCTTCCAGCACCAGGCCAACAAGCTGTTTATATTCAACTATGATCAGTGAGGGACGAGCTCCCCCCCAAATCCTGAACCCCACGACATTCTCTACCTGTTCTTTGGGGCTTCCAGTGGGGGGGGGGGATAAGGGGCAGAAAAGTTATAAAGATGCTGAGGAAGGCCAGGTCTGGGGACGGTGACTGTGCTTAGTGTGGCCTCCAACACCTTTCCAGACGCAGGGTTAAATGAGGCCAAAGGCAAGGTGGGGAGCCCGGGAAGGGTTGATGCTTACGGTTCCCCCTGAGGCCACCTGGTGCGCCCTTCTCTGCTGCAGCAGCTCCTTCACCGTGATCTTGACCCGGACACCTTGATACACCTTCGGTTTTTCTGGGGGAAAAGCGACTGAGTCAGTGGTCCAACGGGAGGTTTGGATGTCAGACTGGGATGTGGGGGAGGGGTCCTCGTTATAGGCTATGACGCAGGAGACCAGGTTTCTAGGTTTGAAGAATGCAAAGAGAATGCTGAAAGACAGGTGGGAAGGAACCCCACATTCCTCCAACTTCAAAGGATGAGGAGAATCTGGGCAGGTTTCAGGGCCTTTGTGGGAAGGGAACCTATGGGTATCTGTGGGGCCACCCGTCCCAGGCTAGGCCCTATCCCTAGACCAATAGCACACAGGTTTTTCTGCTCAGGAATGTGGACAGCAGCCTAGGGAAGCTCACCACCTTGGCTCAATTAGGGGAACCTCGGACTCTGGGACCCTCTGCCGCGGCAGCAGGTATTACGTGCCTGGGAGGGGTCCACCGCGCAAGCAGGAGCCGCTGACAGCCCACCCCACCGTGATGCCCCCACCTTGCGGAAGAAGCTCTGCGTCCCGGCTTCACCAGGCCAAGCAGGCTTCTGAGGAGGCTCTAACCTCTACATGCCCTTGGTCTGGAAGCCAGCCCCGGGGACAGCGGCGGACAGGGTGGGCGGGGGTGCGCGTTGGAGAGCCCTGTTCTCGGGCCGCTGAGGAACTTGCTAGACCGACCACAGGGAAAGGACCAGGCCCGGGGCACCCCCACCGTCCGAACTTTTCTTCTGCCCTGTCACCCTCGCCCCCTTTCTCCGCCTTTCCCGCTCTCCATCTTTTTCCTCCTCCCTCCTCGGGCCCCCGCTCCTGCTCTCCCTTCCCGCCGCTCCCCACCCCCTCCCTTTCTGGTGCAGGCGGCGCACCGAGCCTCCGGGGACAGAGCAGCCGGCGGGGATGCCGCCCTCGGGGCTGGCGGGGCTTGGCCTCACTGCCCGGCTCGCGGGGAGCCGAGCGGCGCGGGAGGGTCGGCGGGGAGGGAGTCCGGGCGCGCCGGGAGCGAGGCGGCCGCAGTCCCGGGCCGACCAGGCGGAGCCGCAGTGAGCAGGTGAGACTCGGCGGGCTTTGGGCCACGCGAGGCCGGGCCGGCGAGCTTTCGCCATCTGGGGTGGCCGCGGGAGCGCCGGCAGCTCCGGCCCTGACCTCGACCCTGGAGTGAGCGCCGGGGCGATCGCGCGGGAGGGGCCGGGCCCCGCGGCTCCCGGCGGCCGGGCGGGTTGCCCCGGCGCCTGGCTCCAATGCAGGGCCGCCAGCGCCGCGTCTGGCCACTGCGGAGAGCGCAGCCGCGCGGCAGGGAGGCCCCGCGCCGGGTCCGGGGAGCGAGGGGGTCTCCCGGGGAAAGGAGGCGGCGCTGTTCGCCGCGCAGACCCGGGGAGCCCCGCGCCTGGCCCGCCAGGCCTGGGCTCACGCCCTCATGGCGGTGCCGTCTTGCCCACACGCGCTCGCCGAGCGCCTCGCGGCTCGGGGGGCAGGGGGTGCGGCCCGGGGGCCGCAGAGAGGCTGCCACCGCCCACCCCTGCGCGGCCGGCGGCGCGTGCGGCCCGCGTCCCGGGCTCTCCGTGAGCCTCTAGCTCCCCCCGCCGCCGCTTCTGGGCACGCCGAGTCCGCAGCGCCACATCCCAGGGTCACAACCGTGGCCAAGGGAAGAGCGGCTGGGGGATCGGGGTACGCGACGTCCACAGCGGCCAAGCCGGCCTCTGGGCCTCTGCCCTGGGGAGCAGGCCGCGAGCTGGGAGCGGCCACAGCGTGGCCCGTGCCCTCTCGGGATCCCCGGCTCCTACTTGGCAATACCTGACTTTGTGCCTCTCTGTTCTATGCAGGAAAAGCTGTGGAAAGGCACCCGGATCGCAAGGCCCCTGGCTCGCGTGACCCGACCCCAGGAGAAGCAGCCCAGTTACCCGACATCGTGGTCAGCAGCAGCTGGGGCGCTGGCTGGGTGCTGGAGCTCCAGGCACTCGGCGCCTCCCAGGGCCCCTGTGCAGGGAGAGAAGCAGAGATGCAACATTTTTAAAGTTTCACAAAGCATCCAGCTGCACCCAGGTTCCCGGAGCAGGAGACAAACAGAATTAATGTTTTATACCTTCGGGTATAGGTTTGAGTTTTCCCCCCCTCATGCCAAGTATTTAAAACCTCTAGAAACCCATGATTTGACAATCAATGATTGCGCGATACTTTCAATTTGAATATTCAAAGGCTTAACAAAATGGACTATCTTCTGCAGAAATCCTGCACACAGACACC